ATATGTTAGACTCACACCTGGGGAGCATCAAAAATAAACAGATGTCCAGCTCTCCTTATTTCAAGACCTGAATCTCTGAGCTTGAGGTCTATGTATTTATAGTTTTCATGACTCCCCAGGTGATTCTCATGCACCAAGAGAATTGAAATCCTCTGCTCCAGTCCAACGATCCCTCCTTTGAAACATGAGGACACTGAGGCAGAAAGGATAGGATAGATTCTGAAGGGCACAGAGACGAATCTCATCTTTGGGTCTCCTGATTCCCAGCCTCTGAATCACCTGGGCACTGTTAAAAAAAAGTGGGTTTCCAGGTTCCACCCCATGTTTACTGAGTCTGAATCAACATTAACAAACTCTCCAGATGATTCTCAAGCCAAAATTTTAAAACCATTCTATGACATCATGCTCCTGCCCCACTCTTTGAAAGATCCATTATTCTTTGCAGATAGAATCTAATGTTTTGGCAAATATAAATGACAACAGAGAGGAATGAAAATATCATGAGACCAGAGATTAAGGAAGAATCTGTCTCTGGGCTTTGCGGCTTCCTAGTTTCATAACCTAGCTACGTGATCTGGAAGGCTCAAGGAGTAGATGAGAAGAGAAAATATATGTGTAAAAATTTGGAAACCAGAAAAAGTGATCATTAAGAAGGTTTAGAGGCAATTGTTATTGCTTTTTGTGGCATAAACTCTATCACTTCTGTTTCTTCAAATATGAAATGGATTTTGAGCATGGGCCTCACAAAAATGCCACCTATCTGATGTGATATTGAATGTTAAGTGCCTAGCACAGTGTCTCTCTTATAGCAGATGCTCCACAAGATTCACACTTCCACCTACAGATACAAGAGAGAAAATCCAAGGGTTTGCCATCATGGTGTTCCCCAACTGTTGGGAGCTGCTGGCCTGGCTGGGGGCAGCCACCACGCAGCATGGTGAGGCTGTAGCAACTCCAGAATTTCCACAAAGGATCAATAGTTCAGATTGGCAATGAGCCATGGAGGTGGTTTGTGTTTATTGTACAGAGCACACTGTATTTCCCTAGGCCTCCTCTGTTCAAAGAGCAGTCCACAGCCACACAAGGTCAGCATCACCAAGGAGCTTGACAGAGATCCCTACCTACTCCCTGCCTACTGTATCAGAATCAGCATTTTAATAACATAACGTTGAGTTGTGTACACATTAAAGTTTAAAGTGCTCTGGATTCAGCTGTATAGAACAGGGGTGTCTTAAAAGCATAACGGCGGAGATAATGAGGCAGAAAATATGTCCCCTAACCCCACAACAGCACCCCCCTCAATACCAGCTCTGTGTTAGGAGAAATAAAATAAACAACAGTGAGGAAGCTCATAGGGTCACTGCTTCTAGAAGTCCAGGGAAGTATGAAGAGGGGAGAAGAGTCTAAATAGTTACCCTAAAGTGTTGATTCGAAACATAAATATATGAATGGGCCCCCAAAAAAACTATTTAAAAATGAAATTTTACAAGAAGCCAGATCTAAAGCAAATATCAGCAGAACTGTTCTGCCTAAAAGAGAGGATGATCTCCTGGAGCCCAACAAAATGCCTCCCCACCTCCACCCAGGGTGATTCAAAGATCCCTCCCCAGGGCGCTCTTTTTGAAACCTCTGACCTAGAAGTACTTGATTTTGTGGGTCAATTTGGTAGGTGTGTGTGTGGGGTGGGGGTGGGGGGGCAGCATGCTCTTACAACCTCATCCTGAGCTAAGTCAATGAGTGAATTAGTCAAATATGAGTACAAGTGTGCCTCATGTGACTGCACACTAGATTAGGACCCAGGAAACCAATGCTTACAACACGTGGCTTCCAAATCATCTCTACACCAGGGTGGAGCAGATCAGTGGGTGGCCCCAGTACTCCACAAAGGAATTAATGCATTCATGAAGACCTGAGACAGGCCTCTTCCATCTGAGCAGTACATCACCGCAATGCCTAATAAGGTGCTTCTTCAAACCTATTTCACCGTCCTCATATAGTGGGAGGCAGATGAACCGAGGCAGGAAGTGAAACACAGTGTTGCCAGTACAGCTGTTTAAATTAAGGGAGTAGGGCTTAGAACCAAATTATTATTGTGGATTCCCCAAACATATTGTGGAGAGAAGTTGCTGTGAGGACCGAGTAGGTTGCAAAGCATCATCATTTTTGTAAACACAAGTGAAAGCAGAAGGATTTCCAGGGGCAAAGGTCTGCTTTTTCCACTCAGCTTCTTATTAAATGGAAATTCAGAGGCCGGAGCTGCGGTCAAATGCAAGGTCCCTTGAAAGATGAAATATATGCAAATGTTTGGAAATTCTAATGTTTGATCTCAGAGGTTTTCATAACCTGCATGTGGTGGTTCAGACTGCCAGTATTCAAACCATACATGCACAACGAGACAGATATGCCTGGTGGGGAAATGATAACTCTGGATAGATAATATTAATACTAACTATTAATATAACGAAGTGTGATCAAACCGCAATCAAAGATTCACTAGCAATATCAGCACCATGAGTTTAGCACACATTTAATTTCCTCTGGCCAGACAGTTTACATGTGACACATTGCCTTGCTCACTGCTGATTCTCCAGCAGCAAGAACATTTTGTGGTACAGAAGAGAGGCTGACATACACACATGACATAAATATAAATACAAGGAAGTCCCCACTCACTAACTCGTAAGGGGTCATTATTATTTTTATTACACAGAGAAAGAAGCAGACACTTAGATACAATAGATGCCGTATCAGAGTCCACATGGGGCCAGGTTCCCACGCAACTGGATCAGGCATAGATCATCATGATAATTAGGGATATTGAATATTTATTTTGAGCCAAATACTGCACTTAAAATTTTTCATATTATATTTCCATCTTCCAACTCCTTGCAGGATAGACATTAGTGCACCCATTTACACACAAGGAAAATAAAGCTTTCCAAGTGTAGAAGCCTGTTCTGTGCCACTATAAAAGAATTCCTAGAACTAGTAAATTATAAAGAACAGAGATTTGTTCCTCACAGTTCTGGAAGCTGGAAAGTTCAAGGTCAAGGGGTGTACATCTGGCAAAGACCTTCTTGCTGTGGCATCCCATGGTGGAAGTTGGAAGGACATGAGAACACATGATGGACAGTCAATGAGTGAATTAGTCAAATAATTGGAAGGAAGACTGAACCTTTCCTTCCACCAGGAACCTACCCTTGCATTAACAAAGTCACTCTTAGGGTAACAACATTAGACCCTCTTGACCCAGTCACCTACTAAAGGTCCCACCTCTCAAAATTGTAGCACTGAGGATCGAGTTTCCAACACATGAACTTTGGAGGATGCATTCAAATCATAGCAGAAATATTAAATGATATTTCTCCAGACTTTGAGTCCTTGGAGAGTAGCAACTCCTGTTTCCATCTCTAGCACCCTGCTCCTTAATAGGTGCCTGCCATATAGAGGTTCTTAAAGAAGGCTGGAATTAAATAAATGAGCAAATTAGTAGTTAGTTGATCTGTAATCCTTCCTTCTATTTATAGCACTAATACTATATACAATTCTTAGAATCTTGAGAATTAAAATAGTCCTATGATAAACCATCTCATCTTTTGTCCCATGAATAGCTGTAGAGGAGATAAAATAAAAACCCTACAGTTTCCAACTAAGACAAAGAAGTTAATAATGTGGGAGACTGGGCCCAGGAAGAATCTCTTCCTAAGCCATAGGTGTACTTTCATTAAAATTAAACTATTCCATAAATTCAACAAAAGCTGATTTATGAGTGGCCACTGTAACTGAATTGTACTGATACTAATCATTGGCAAGAATCTAAGTAACTAGTTTTGCTCTACCACCCCACTGGATGGGGGAAAATGTTGTTTTTCAGAAATAGTAGTTCAGTGATTTTCTCATTTACACTCTGGTTTGAATATGAAGTATCTACCAGAAGGTCATAAGACAATGTAGCCATAGGTGAGATAATTAGATTATGAAAGCTATATCCAACACCTAATTCATTTAGTCACATGCCTGACCCAATAACACTCCCTGTAGCAATGTACTCTGAATTTTCTATGGTCCCCAAATTCAACACTCCAATAACAATGTCTACTTGTGGATCTTTCTCTTGGTTCACCATGATGCATCTGTGAACCTAAAAAGAAAGAACTGTGAAAAAGTCTCTGAACCAAAAAATCCAGCATGTTAAGCTACCAACCATATTCCCATAGCATATGTCATTCTAGAAGATCCAAATAGATATTAAGAAACATTACCACTTTACTTATCCATTCATTTATTCTATTACAAATGCAATAAGTCTTATTTTCAGACATAATCACTAATAAAAATCAGACTATGAATAAATAAAACTTTCATAAGGTTTGAACAAATTCTATCAAATGTCTCTTACTAGGATATATTCAAAGATACAAATAATATTTAGAAATATTTTTTAGCCACTAAAAAGTTCAAACAAATGACATTTGCTTATAACCATTACATGTTGTTGAGAGTCTAATATTAAGTTTAAAAGACTAATTAAATGATCAGATACATTAACTCTAATAAGTAGTTATTACCTACCAATTACCCATCAGTATCAACATTTATAAAATAAATTTATGTATTTTTTTCGTGATAACCGGAAGTGTGTGCATTCCAAGGATATCGCATAAAAGCCAAATCTAGTTCAACACTGTAGATAGAAAAAGGTGGCTAGCTGGGGCTCTGGACTCTCAACCTTGCCCCCATGGGTAGGATAGTGGGGCCTCCCAAATGAAGTATGATTTCCAGGTTTTTCAGCCCATAGAAGATTAAAAGCAAAAAAAAAAAAAAAAAAAAAAAAAGAATCTGGATTTAAAAAAAAAAGTCATTTCTAAACAATAAGCAAGAAGACAGGAAAAAAAAAAACATAAAATTCAGGTAATTGATTTAGTCAGCTTTTTGCTGCTGTAACTAAATAATGCCACCAGAACAACTGTGGAGGAGGAAAAGTTTATTTAAGGACTCACAGTTTCAGAAGTCAGTCCATAGACAGCTGGCTTCATTCCTTGGGGCTGGAGGTGAGGTGGAACATCATGTCTAAAGAGTGTGGTGGAGAGAAGCAGTTCACATGATGAATATGAAGCAGAAAGAGAGAGTCCACTCATCAGATACAAATTATACCCCAAAGGCACCACCCCCAGTGATGCACCTCCTCTAGCCACACCTTACCGCCTGCAGTTATCACTCAGTTAATACCATGACAGGATTAACTTACTGATTGGGTTGAGGGTCTCATAACCCAATCATTTCTTCTCTAAACCTTGCATGTTCTTACACAGTAGCTTTTGCAGGATACCTAATATCTAAACCATAATAGTACAAAAATATAGCAAAAATGGAACTATTTGGTAAAGAGAAAATAGTCTCTGCATGCCTCGATAAGATGTCTCTTGTGAGAATTTCAGTGAAATCACAGATGGGACCATGAAGCACAGCAGCCCATGAGGCAGGCACTCAGTACCTGGAAGATGTTAAAAGGTTCCAAGACTCAAGACACCAGAGCAATAGTGGGGCCAAATGTTTCATTGGGCCAAATGCTCAGGATGTCAATGCAAACAATCACATGAAGACAAATTGTGATCTATTGTTCCTATTGATAATTTCAGAAAGTTTGCAATCATTTTTTCAGAAAGATTTTCATCTAAATTATTAAAAAGCACAGTATGTTCTCTTAAAGTTTCAGTTTCAAGAAGAGTCAAAGCAGAACACTTGATTTACTGAGAACGCCAGATAAATAAAAACAGTCTCCCAAGTATTCATCATCATAATCTCTTCCACACTTTTACAATTCGTTAGAGGCTATATGTATCTTACCCCCAGGGAATGCTGCACTTGGTTCCTATCTGCTCTCCTGAGCCACTTCATGTCCCTGTAGATATACTGGTTCACTCATGGTTTATGTAAAACCTACCTCATTGTACAAAGGGTTTGAGGCAGCTTGTAGGAGAAACATACAACACAAGAGTAAGAAAAAATAAGTCCATATAAGGGAAAATGTGTACCCTTGTTTCAATGGAAATACTTTGCAGATAGGTTGCATCAAAAAAATAAGGATCAGACGTGGTAGGCATATCTAACAATCCAGAAGACTAGCTGAAGTCCAAGTTCTGAGAAGCACCACAGGTTGTGAGTAGCAAAGGCAGTGTAGTTGCGTAGAGAGAGAAAAACAGGGAAAGAGGGAAATCTGTGGATAGATATCTACAGCTATCTATGTAGGTATGAATGTAGATACATAGGTCTGTAGCTACATTATAAATATCTGTATTTAATGGAGGGTAAAATTGAAGAGTCTAGATCAGCAAATGCTCTCAGGTATGGAGAAACAGTGCACATTGCCATAAGAATTCTCTTATAGAAGGTAACATGAGTAGGGTGGTGGAGGGGGGTTAGTAGCCCCTTCAACTTCACCTTGGGCTTCTGAGAACCTTTTTCTCTTGAGGGGTCAAGGGATGGTCCATGGCAACCACTAGTAGGAAATTTGAAGCAACAGAAGAAACTATCATGCACAGTGGACACACGACAGAAATACCCACCATGGGAAGCCATACTGATGGTAAAGAGGGGTCATGGCTGGGGGCAGTGAAACAATGGTTGTCACCATTATAGCAGGGCTAAATGAGTGGCAGTGACGGTGTAGATGCTACATCATCTGGGTGGGACAAAAATGCTCAGTCTTGCCCTGCTTGCTTCTAGCTCCCTAGATTCAGGCTCTGTCCACCACTTCCTCTCTAGCCTCTGCCCACCAAAGACCATACTATAATTGCTGTACTGGGTCTCTAGGTTTTCATGATGCAGAAAACAAGAACCATAGAGACCACAGAAAGGGAGGAAGGAAGCATAGGAGGTGCATGAATTACAGCTGGAGGTTAAGTGCGTTCTTGAAGGACATAAAAAGCCTGCACCCAAAAGGGATAGAGAATTTTTAGTTTCTCTTTAAAATTTTCTTTATTTCTTTCTTTCTGCTATTGGTTCGTTTTCAGGAATTGTGCTAAAAACCGATAGCTGCAAGGAACATGGCTGGAAGGAAAATGAGGATTTTAAGGATGGTGGATGTCGTCCACCTATGCCATCCCTATCATGGTAGTTAAGGATTGCAAATAAATGTGAGTTTATGCTGAGAAATATTTTTGGTGATTTTGCCACTTTACTAATTATGGTAACTAAGACTGGACCACAGAGGGCATGACGTCGGAAAAACTGCCCCTGAAAGGTCATGGAGCAGGGAAGGTACAAGAACAATATGTGTTGGTGAGCATCTGTGACAAACTTCCAGGGACTTAAAAAAAAAATAAGGACAAGAGTACAACAGCAAAACTCTTAAGGGGACGGGAGAAGAGGAGGTTTTGCAGACAGGAACAGAATCCTTGGTCCTGCGTCAAGAGGTGGAGGCAAGCGTGGTGTGAATTACTGAGGTTAATGAATTCACAGGCTTGTAAAGTGGGAAAAGGTGGATTCTATGTAAGTTATAATAAGAGGATTTCCCCATGTGCTTATAAGAAGATTGTTCCCAATCACCTAAAAGGGAAATTGAAATTACTTTAACATGGTAGCAGCAGCTCATCATAATGTGACTTTCTTTCCAGCCTCATCTTTGACTCGTTCCCCCGCCATCGACATCCTACATCAGTGACTACCAGCTGCAGAAGGGTTTGATCCCCTGCTCCGGGCATTTGGCACAATCTGGGGGAAGGTGAGGGTTGCTCCAGGCACTGATCGACTGGATGCAGGAAAGGAATGCAGCTGGCACCTGGCAATATGCAGGACAGTCCGCTGGACACGAGTTATCTGCCCTAACCATCAGTGCAAATGGTGACAAATGTTACTTTAAATGCACTGAACTTTAAAAAATTCTCCAAGCTTGCCTTGGTTTCTCATGGATCCATACTGTGGTACAATTCTTCCCTCTTCCTGGAAAATATTTCGCTTTTCTTAAGTCACTAACTGCTCCACATTTCCACTCATATCGGTTCATCTATTTGAGAGTTTCTTTGGTTTTTGGAGAATAACGGAGGTGCTATTGCTTGCATCCAGCTATTGTATTTTGTATTGTATTCTGCTATTGTGGAAATTCTGTGATCTGAATGCCTTTTCACCTCAGGGACTCAGGAGGCTGAAGGAGGAGGTTCACAAATTTGAGGCTAGCCTCAGTGAAGTAACAAGACCTCAACAATTTAGCAAGACCTATTGAAAAAGTAAAAAAAAATAACAAAAAGGACTAGGGATGTGGCTCAGTGGTAAAGTTAGCCTGAGTTCAATCTCCAGTACTAAAAGAAAAAAAAACTCCATAATTATTGATAATTGCTTATTATTTTCTCTCTAAATCTACCACTATAAGTCCACAAAGATACAATGAGGTGGTCCCTCATTATATGAGATGAGGTGGCTTTTCGTCTTTTTGTCTCTTAACTCTCGGCATTGTGTGATCAATAACTGTTAATCGAATGGATAAGCAACTAAAGTTTCTTAAACTCTGAGGTGGTTTCTTTCATTTTAAAATTGAACACACTAATATCTGCTGTGCAGTCCCATATTTCTTGTCATGATAAAATAAGACAATAGATGGTATGTTGTTTAATATTTTCCAGAATGATGATACCTTCTTTTTACCAACCACCTTCTATGAGTTTGCACCTGGGTAAGATGATTTCCAACCTCCTCCCCACTTTCATATGGAGCTAGGGATCAAACCCAGAATGTGGTTCATGTTAGGCAAACACTACCACTGAGTGACAGCCCTAGATCCATGTAACACTTCTAGTTGTCCCAGTTGGTAAGATGTAGTACCAATTGAACAGACAGAAACAGCTAAGCATAAGGAATCCAGGTGATTTGCTCAAGATCACAGATGGAGTCAACAGCACATCTGAGGCTCAAATACAAATTTTGGGAGCAGAGAGGTGGGTGTAGATTTTGACATCACTGCAAACACCCTACGTGTCAAAGATAGGGAGATCCCCAAAGATAGGAAATGCATCCAACCTAGTAAAGGAAAGGAATTTTTCTTTCTGTCTCCTGACCCACGGAGATCTTTCTTACAAAATCTGGAGCTTTAAAAACACAATTACTCCACCTGATCAATCAGAATTGTTTGTTTGTTCAAAGAGGATAACTCATTATGGAAAATATGCATTATAAGGCCATAATATATGTATTTATTCAATTAAGTCTAATGTATTATTTAAGGCTTGGTGGGTGATATTTATCACTAGCAAATGCTAATTTATACAGATTATCAGAGTCTAATTAGATGCACAGCTTGTGGGGATAGCCTGTACTTGGAAGGTACAGCCATGACTTGGTCTACTCTGGGCTGATGGATTTATCACAAGGTCTGTCAACCTATGCCACATACTCATTTTGGTCCATAAGCAGGTTTAAAAGTAAATGGCTGAACCCAATTACCATGGCTCCTTCTAATTGCTTGTGTGAGTACCTTGGTGCTCACTCACTCCTGAGGGCTTCCTGTGAGTCACACACCCCTTTGTGCATCACTGCTCAATGTCACTCCACCAAGCAGAGATAGTATTGGTGAAACTGTTGTCTTCCCCATAAAACCAGCACAGCCATAAGCTATATTCAGGAGACAAGTGGGCCCATCTTCAACATTCACTCAACAAACAAACATTGAAAAGTTACTCTGTGCCAGGCTTTGGGCTGGGGCTAGAGGATACGAAGATGAATGAATGAGTGACTTCTGTATCAACAGGAAGGTTTGGCATACTGCTGGGGCACGCCCTTTAACATCCTACACTCTAGAACTAAAGTAGAGGCCTGACTCTGCCCATTACCAGTTGTATGGCCAAAAGACAGTGCTTTTAACTCTTAAATCCCTGTCTCCTCATCTATAATGGGGAAAGAACTGGTCATTCAATGTCACTATTCATAAAAAAGAAGCTACAGGGGCTGGTCTGTGGCTCACTGGTGGAGTGCTACCAAACATGTGAAGGTGCTGGGTTCAATCCAGCACTTCCCACTTTTTGATGTTACTTGCAAACTTTCCCTTTTACCCTTGAAGATCAGCCCTCTGGCTCTTTGTC